CTGRTTCATCTCGATTTCTGTKWYKGCTGGTTCATCTCGATCTCTCGATTAGGTATCCATCTCGATTTCTGTTTTTGCTGGTTCATCTCGATTTTGTTCATCTATTGATTTCTGAATTTGTTTCTCCTTGCACTGCAAATCACTGATTTTGTTTCATCTATTGATTTATGATTCTGTTTTTGATTATGAATGCTTCTTTGCTGTTTTGGTTGAATGAGATTGTTTTGGTTGGATGAGATAATCTCATCTCAATAATGAAATTTCACTCATTAGTTCATCACTCTAACCAAATTAAGAAGTAAACTACATAATCATGTTGATACCAAAATAGAACATTAAGCTCAAGTTCATGTTCATTGTTCAAGAGTTACAATACAAAAGTCCATGTATTAAATGTATCCCTCCTGTGTATATTCGACTTCTGGTGTGTGTCATTAGATTCGACCTCGGTCCAAATTTTGGTGTGAATTGAGGCTGGAAATGGTTCCTCCCTAGTTGTTTTATCAGCAAAAACCGAATAAAACCTTATTGATTCAGATTTCAGATTTCAGACGTAAAAACAAACAATCTGACTGATTCAAATATCAGATTTCAGACGTAAAAACAAACAGTCTGACTGATTCAGATTTCAGACGTAAAAACAAACAGTTTGACTGATTCAGATTTCAGACTTCAGCACCACCTCTTAAAATTCAGAAGTGAATTCAGATTTCAGACTTCAGCACCACCTCTTAAAATTCAGAAGTGAATTCAGACTTCAGACTTAAGCACCTCTTAAAAAACAAACGCCACCTTAGTGATTAGAGATTGGGGTATGTGATTATAAGACTTATCAAATCACATAAAAACCAAAGCAAAAACTTTCGAACGATTCGATTCGAACAAAACCTATATGCATTTTCTTCGCATGTACAATATTTGTTTCGTATCCCTTCATATGCATGTACTCGTCGGTTGTTCTCGAAGTGAGACATCATTGTTGATTTGATTTTGGTTCCATGACATATACATGGAGAGTTGTCGTTAAGTGTTTATGTTAATACAATTTCCACCATTACATGTTTTCGCAAATGGTACCATGTGGTCGTGTTAATTCGGAACGTTTGTTACAATGAAGCTCCATAATATTTCTATACATAAGATTTGAATTGTTATTTCCATACTATCATCGTAGTTAAGATCCTACAGTTTCACTCTGTTACCCTCTAATCTACTTTCTACATGTCTCTCTTTTCTACTCTAACTTCAATCGAAAATTTTAATACAAATAGCACAAGTCTTTCACTTTACAGTATCGTTGGTCACGTGAAACACTGATATAACATTTCATTTAACACAAAATGAGTTGGATACGTTAAACAGGTAGAAAATAATCAAAAGTCAATTAAGATACATACAATATTCAAATGTCTATAACAATCAAAATGACAAATTCTTTTCTATTCAATTCAGCTAAACGTTACCAGACCATGTCAATATTTTATAACAAAAAAACAATATAGTTAGAAGATTAAATATGAATATATGTTTAAACCTAACCTAGCCCAACCCAATCCAACCCGTTTGGATTAAAATGAAATTGTCCCAACTTGAATGTCTTTTTCGTTTACAACCCATTTTGTGTTTTGTTTCCCTTGTGGTTTGAAACAAACACTAGTGGGAATAAGACTTGTATGTCTCACATTTAATGAACATAAAGGCAGGTTGTGGATGGGTGTTTGGTACACAAGTCAAATTAATATAATATTTTTATTATAAAAAGTATTTAATTTATTTCGAAAAAGAAAAGGTAGAAACAAACCCAAGTGGCACACGTTTTATTTACCAAATTTTTTTAAATATGATATCTTTGTTTAATATGTAAATGATGGAAGTGTATGGGAATCAAATTCTTTTCATAAAAAGAAAGTTACATGTTTTTATACAAAATATTGAAAACAACATCGTATTAGATATTTTGTGTTTGTGGACAACATAAATTATACGATGAACGGTTTTGGAAATTAATTTTGTTTCTTGATGAAGAAAATTGAGTGTAAATTATGTAATTCTTGGGTGTTTTTTAAATCATGATTTTGATATCAATATGAAAACGGTCATGGAGCATAACAATTAATGTAGTTATTCCTGTAACATTTACCAAATATATATATATATATATATATATATATGAATACGGTGATGATATGATAGATTAATATTTACCAAATAAAATGTTGGATTACTAACTCAATTTGTATAATTATTAATACTGGATCTTAATAACTAAAATAAATATCAAAATTCTTTGAAATGGTGACTATGTTGAAAGTATGTTTTGCTTGATTGTTCAGTAATTATATTATATAATATAGGAAATTGTCTTAAAACCAAGGTTTTAAATGACTTGAGTTTGTGATTTGGCAATGAAATCAAGTCTCAAGAATTAGAAGTCATGACGAGGCCGTTATGTTTTTCAAGTCAGGACTTATGACATAAATATGTATATCATATATACAGACGTGTTTTTTTTACTATAATCAATTAGTAAATGATATTAAACAATTCAAATTAGGTTGGATGTAAAAAAAACTAAAAAGTAAGAGAACATAAATATCATGTTACCGCATATTGGGTTATGGCAGGTCATAGACTTAACTTGACATGAGACACAAATATATAAACCATGACGAACCTTCCACCTTTCATGTAATCCTTTTTATAAAATGTATGAAAAACCCATTTAACGAGAAATAAATAATAATATGGTTAAAAGGGTAGTAGAAGACAAATAGAAAGTTATAAGTGTAATATGTTATGTCATGATTGAATAATGGCATGCCTTGAAACAACTTTTGGTTGATTTTGTGCATGTTATTATGATGCAAAGATGCCTTTCTTATGAGTTATAATAATTGATTTGAGTGGTTCATATAAAGAAGGGACCAAATGTTTGAATCCCACCACCACCCCTTTTTCCCTACTTTTCAAAACACCCTTTTTATATATTTCGAATCAAATCTTTACCAATTTAAATTTTACTTAATTACAACAATATTACCTTCTTTAAAGGTTTTTCTTTAATTGACCATTTCTTATATTTAAATTGGTTTACTAATCATTTTCTCTCCCGAATTTATCCAAATGTCACTACTTACACAATATTCAGGTCCACGATATTAACTAAAAGACAAAAAAAAAATCAAATTCAACCAGTTTACCTTTACAAGAAGCTGGATATTTTTCACATGTAGTGATATTTGGGTAAATCCGAAAGAAAAAAAATCAGTAGACCAACTTGAGAGTGGAAAATGGTTATTTGAATCAAATTTTTTTTTTAATTTCCTATTAAAAAGACGACAATCTACACAAAAATCAAATGTCTACCGGTATTCAACCATTTCAGGTCGTGCTGGTTTTATTTTATCACAAAATAAATGAAAAACAAAACAAAATATAAAAAGCTTTACACGATATTTAATTAGAAGCCTTAAATAATTACACCAAAAGAGATGCACATATGACACAAAACCTTGCCAACTTCTTTACTAATCTGTCTTTTTTGGCCCCAGGAAGAGAATAATAATAATAATAATAATAATTAAAAAAAAAAAAAAAAGATTAAATTTGGATCTCCTCCTGTTTGTCTCCCTCCCTCATTCCTTGAACATCATCATCTACCCTATTAAAAGAGATTTTGGGAGAAGCATCATCCATTTGCCTTTCAAAAATTCCATTCAAGTCTCCATCAATTCTAACCTTCAAATTCATCTTCAATCTCACAACCCCATAATGATGTAGTACACTAGCGTTATCGGTAACGCAATCAACATCCCGAAAATAACCCTGAAAAAACATATAATTATATAATAAATCTTCATGTCAACAATAATACCAAGTGGGTGTTTGATTAAAAGTATTAAACAACCCCTAATATTTACGGAATGTTTTTCCTTAACACCGTTAATTTAAATGATACGTACGCAGTACTGAGAATTGCAGGATGAACGTTGTATTCTTTTGCAAAGACAAAAGGGACAATCCCTTGGGGAAGTGCAGCCTGTGAACCAAAGAAATGAATAAAATATGTTACCTATTAAATTAATGGTGTATAAAGTCTTTAAAAAAAGGTTCATTTCATACCATGTTATTTAAAAATAAATAAAACATATGATAAAAGTTAGTTATAAAGCATCAAATTAATTAATACTACATAACAATAACAATAACAATAACAATAAAATAAAAAAAACAATGCAGGTAAAGGGTTGGTAAAAGAGATTATTTTATTACCTGTACGATAGCGACATGGAGGAGGGTTCCACGAAGGCCAACGGCGATGGAAGCCGCTGCCATAACCGCTGGTCCCGTCAAAAACCTCACTGCCATAGCGAACGAAGCTACGGAATTCCCACAAGCTATTATCTTTGGTTGTAGTGCCATAAACAAACCTTAAAAATACAAAATTTGATCGGTTAACGTTCGGTCACATATCTTATACCCAAACAAAAAAGAACACATATACGACAATTTTATATTGCTTTTATAAACTATAATAATCAATAAATAAAAATTGTATATTTACTTAAAATAAATGTTACCTAAGCTAAACATGGCCATTCCAAGACCCGCATCGGAGAGTATCGAGATGGACTTCTCAATTATTTTGGGCATTGCCAAATCCCACCTGTAATAAATAATTAATTAATTAAATTTAATTATTCTCATGAAAATCTTATCCTATTCTTATTCTGGAAAATACAAAAACCCGTTAAAATTTTATTTATTTATTAAAATAAAATATATTTAAATTTAATTTTGAGTGACATGTTGGATTACCTGAACGACACGAGAGACCAGATTAGACCAATGAGACTGGAGTACGTGTTCGGGTTCCTGATCAGTTTCCGCCAAACCATGATCAATATTAATCGGGTCATCACACTCGCCGGCGGCATCTGTTTTCCGGTATTTCCGTCAAGAACCGGCATCTCCTTAGGACCGACCTCCGCCGTGGAGCTCGATCCCAGTTTGTTTAGACCAGCAGAACCCTCTTTATCTCTTTCATCATCTCCATCTCTGCCACCACCGAAACTGAAGTCATCCCGCCGGAATTCTCCCGCCCCTGCACCATTAACGCCGTAAATTATAGGGTTTTCGGAACAGAATGATTAATAAACGGTGGATTTTAGTTTACCCTTCGTTTCGGCGTATTGGTGGTGATCGGAGGAGACTACCATCCGGATTTCCTTGGCGTCGTCGTGATCCAGTCGACCTGACTGTTCCGTTGTAGCTCCGAAATCATTACCGCCGAACACGTGGAGCCCACCGCCTTCGGAAACCGGCGACGCACTGGAACTCCAGATGAACATGTGAAGCTCTTTGTCGTCATTCTTACCCTTGTTTTGTGAACCATTTGGTTGTGGCGGCGTATGTGGTGGTTGTAGGGCTTTTGCAGTTTTCGTTACGGTGGATGTAATTTCCGGGTTCGGCGCCGGGTAAGATGAGGGCTGAGCCGCCGCTGGGTAAGATCCAAACCTCGGAGAATTTAAAGGTCCAGGAGCTGTACTCTCCTCAAAATTCGACGGTCTGGGCGTCGGACCTCTTGATGACTGAACGGAATACATATCCGCCGGCCCAAAATTCGATAACCGGCCACCGGGGAAACCCATCATAGAGTAAAAATCAGAGTGGTTGAAGTTAGAGCCTCTGGGTGTTGGGTTTCTCGAGGAGCTTAAACTGTAGATTTCCGCCCCTGTCAGATTCGACGGCCGTGGAGTCATTGCAGGGAGGGAACCAAGCCCGAGTGATCTTCTCGATGCGTTTGATTTCCTCACGGTCACATGGAGTTTTCCGTCGTTTCCGATCTCCGCGTCGGTTTCAAGGAAATCATGGCCATCCAACGAAACGACGTCAGACTCGACCTTGAAGGAGACAATGGAGGCAGCGGTTTCTGGAAACTGTTCCATTATGAGCATCTTGGCGCCACGATACTCAAACAAGAAAAGAAGCAGAGTGTACCATATGATGCACTGCAACACCACCACCTGAACCATCAGAGATCCGGAATATTCACCGTACATGGCAATCAGCAGCGGAATCCCCATTACGAGCGTGTTAGGGAGAGTGGATAGCGAGAAGATGGTTATCATCCATTCCAGACTCCCGTTCTTGGTGAAATTAGCCCATAGACTAAGCACCACCAACATGATAATTTTCTGGAGGGTGTCGGCGGCGATGAACCTGAAATTCATGGCGTAAGGATTGTTCATGGAGATGAAGTGAAAGGAGAGTAAAGGGACGGCGAAAATGGCAACGAAACGATTGATGCCGGAGCACTGGTCAGGGGTGAATATCTTCCACCACCTAACACTGCCGTAAGCGAGTATCATGGCGACGTACAAGGGCACCATCGCCGACATAACGGTGTAGAAATCATGGCCGGTGATCATTGTTACAGAGATCTAGTGAAATTGAGATGCTGGTAGATGAAATAAAAGTGAAAACCGTTATCTTTCTGACAGATTTTGTTACTGGCAGTGTGGGCGTTTTACGGCTGATTGAACCCAACACAGAAACAAGTACTGGAGAGAGAGAGAGAGTTAAAGAAAAAAAGACGCCATTGATGGTTAGAGAAATTAGAATAGGTGGAGGGGACGGGGGGGAGTTTATATATAGGGATAGGGAGGGAATTACTCCTTTTTTTTAAATATATTTATTATTAATTAAATCACCATTCAAAATACATAATAAATACATTTCATTATTTTAAGTATGTTTATCTCCTCTTTTTATTATTTTCCTTCTAAGTAATCTTCTCTAACATTAATAAGTAAATATTATTCATTTCCAATTTTCATCACGTGGTTATTATAAAAATTGTATAACGATAATTTATTGGACTTTTGTAAAAAAAAAAAAAAACATAAAAATCATTGAAATTAATATAAACATTTATACATAACGGTTATCTATATGACGTTATAGCTTTTAACCTACGTGAATGTGAATTCAAATCTTTGATAAGTAAATCAAATTTACGTATTTAATATATTAATTTAGCAATGTATATGGGTGTAATTAGCATCCCCATTCAATATATTAATAATAACAAATATTTTTTTCGAACATAATATTTTGAGGTCAACTATGGTCTCTTTCTTTGTTTGACGGGTTCATATTTTGGAGCTCATATTGTTTTGGGGTAATTGTGGGTTTCCACTTCCCGGGCAAACTTACACGCACTGGTTAATCCTCTGATAACCCCGACTGCCCTGAAGTTATCGCATGTGAACCTCCAAGGCTATGAGGGAATTAGGGATTGTGCGGTTGTAGCTTAGTGGACTGTATAGCGTATATGGCTTATTCGCTCTGCCATAAATAATCGTTCGGGAGTGGCTTATTCAGTCAACCCATGACTTACTGGCACAACTAGGAACCTATACTTCTCATACTCACCCATTTTATTTTCATTAATTCCCCAACAACCCTTCATTCTCTCGTCTTCAACCTCTGAGTCCATTCTTTCCATCTTCAACCCAGGAGACGATCTGATTCCATCTTCAACGCATTCCCTCCATCTCCATTATTTCCTCTTCAACCCAGGAGACTATTAGATGCAGATAAAGTCTCGGTGTTTAACCTGCACATGCTTCGATCCAGTTTGGATGAATCGAAGGAGTGGCTTTTGGTTTTTTGGATGCAGATTAGGTCTTGACATGGCTTTTGGTTTATTCTACCATGGTGAGTTTAATCATGGAAATGGTGACATGAGAAGGAGAAGGAAGCATTCTTAAAGATTGAGGATTGATAAGTGGAGGACTTTGGAATTTTTTTGGTTTGTTCTTCCCGTGATTTCTTCTTAAATCTTTTAGATTTCTAAACAGTGGTTTATGATTTCTAGATGGTTTTTTGGCTTTTCCATGTCCTGATTAGATGTGTTTTTGATACTTAGCTATGGTTTATGATTGTTAGATTGAGAGTAAAATGGTCATTTTTGATATTAAGACTGCTTATTCAACACAACAACCGAACAACAACTTATTTGTTATCATACAGACAACTTTATCTACATGACTTAATAGAAAACAAATCGAACAACCCCTTAATAGTGTTTAAATTCAAACCAAGGATAGATGATATTAGAGCTCATAATGATGCCCTCTTTTATTATTGTTGAGTCCTAATTGGTTCATGCTAAAATGTTTCGGTGTATAACGTTTTGCTTCATTTTGAACATCCAAATTCAGTTACTTCGTGTAAAATCAACATACTTTAGACGTTATTAAAACGGTTAGACTTTATTTAATGTTTATATAAACACAACTATTTACCAAAAACATTTACCAATTTTAGTCGTTACTTAAATCTTGATGGTAACACTATTTACCACAACATTTATTCCACAAAATCGAAGAGAAAAAAAATTGATTTTTCAAAATTTCAAAGACATTTTAGTGTTTTAATATTCATGTACGTTTTTTAAAATTATGGATGTCTGGACTAACTTGTGTACACATCGAATAATCTCGTGATGCCCGGGAACTAACAGTCGAGCAAAACTCTAGTAATACGAAACAAACTCAATATCTAACCAGTTTTATTACTGATAATGGTTTCTCAACATTCATGTTAATTTATTTTATTCTTGATTTTCGTTATCTTTATTATGAATTGATTTTAAAAAAATATAGTAATATTTCAAAAAGCGTTATTTTAATTAATTATAGGATTTATGAAACGAGAGACGTCCCGAGGTTAATTAATTATGTTAATTAATAGAAGATATGTTGATTAAAGAAGTAAAATTGAAGAAAACACAAAAGGAAAATTTAGATAAGAAAAGTATATGTAACGTCGTTGTCAAGTAACCTAATAATGGTGTTTAGTTGTTTATGTATGTGATTGATTAATGAAGAGATGTTAAGAGTTGGTACTTCCCTTCCCTTCCCTTCCCATGCATAAATTATAAGTAACAACTTCAAATATAAACCATATTCTAAGTTCTAACCACTCGTTCCATCACAAAATTAATTTATATTTATTATATTTTTATTTTTGAAAAAACATCAAACTAATCTTTTTTGATATAAAGATTCTCTACAAATTATCTGTTTCTTAAACATATCAAGAAATATCCAGAAATCTGTAAATAAATTCTCCTTTTTTGTTGAGATTTGGCCCATGAGGTGTCAATTTGTGTAATTCTAGACTATCTATACTATATTGTAAAAAATTTGATAAAAACTCTTAAAAACCAATTTTATGTATGAATATTGTTTATTGATACATGTTACTTAAAATTCAAGACTACAAATATATTATACATAAATATAACTTATTAATATTTCATTTTTTTTTAATTTGTATAG